ATGCCGCTGCGCAGCTATGTCCTCCTTCACGCCTCCCGCAAGACCTTCAGCAACGTGAAGGTCAGCATTCTGGCCCAGTGGACGCCGGCGCCGCAGAACAGGAGCGGCCCCGCCCTGTCCCCTGGCCAGGTACGTCATGGCCGGCCCCCGCCTGGCTGTTCTAACAGGGCGGCGATCAGGAGCTCCCTGGTCCGGACCTCACCAGTGCGCCTCTCGAGTCCCGCCCCGTGTCGGGGGGAAAGGCGTTCTTCCCAAAGACGGCGGCGCTGGGTTATCGGGGAGGATGTCTGTAAGTCTCTCTTGTAACAGCGGCTCAGACCGTTCCGACCGTAGGCCGAGAGTAAGGCTGCGGAAAACCTTGCCGGGTTGGCATTTTGCGCTCGGGGGAAAAGGGATTCATCACTGTACCTTCCCTGCTTTTTATCCTTCCCTAGACTTGGAATGAGAACCAGCTGTTCGCCGACGAGACGGAGGCCACGCTCTTCCTGGGTGCCCTGGACACGGTCTTCCTCTTCTCCTACGCTGTGGTGAGTCCTTGCTGGTTGCCGTGCATACACATTCAGAAAGGAGGTCTGTACCACCTGTGGGCACCATACCACCGTGCCCGCCTCAGGTGGCTCATGATACCTAAAATCTGAGCTCACAATATTTTGTACTCTGCTATAGAGCTTGGCTCTGACCCCAGCTCTGCTCCAGAGCTTCGCTCATGTTTCTCCCTGGATACTCGACCCCTATCCTTCTCTCCTGGATTTGCCCCGTCATGCCTTGGAACCATCTATTTCTCACGCTGCGAACCTGGCCTGCCTGTCTCGCCTGCAATGGCAGAAGTCCCTTGTGCCTTTGCTGCATCTCTCAGGCTTTGAACCACACTCTGCGCCCGATCGCAGGTCAGAAGAACCTTGAGTCTGAGTTTGTTTGCTCGTTTGCCTGCTGCTCACCTGTCGAGCATCTCGCGACCCTCAGACCTCTGCTTAATTCCCCCCGAAGCAGCAGGTATGATAGGCCGAGTTACAGCGCAGCACAGTTGTTGATTTCGTTTACATGTCCTATGGCTTTAGAGATCTGTCAGGTTCGTTCTTTTTATTCAGGTCACCCAACTGTTACAGTAGATCACACAACAGTAGTATGCTGTAACGGAACCTATATTGAGTGTCTTGTTGCCCTACAGGACGAGTTTTGAGAGCGGACTGTGTTGTGTGCGCATGCGTGTTCTGGAGTTTTACCTGTCGTACAGTAGCTAAGACTCCGTTCAAGTAACGAAAAGTTAAACTGGCAAAGTGAAGGAGTCTTTACTATAGGAATAACCCTGCATGAAAGGGTAGGAGCTGTGGAGATCCCACGGAAGAAAACTGCAAACATATTGTCCGTCATTCAGGTGGTGCTCAGAGTGT